TATCACCGGTCCAGCCCTCAACAGCTCTACGTCAATTATGGGGTTTCTTCAAATGCCGTTGCCATGGCAACACAATGCTCGCCATGAAACACGGTTTTCTCATAACATCAGTGAAAATACTCCAAATGGCCCAAAACTTCACAGGTTTGGTAACGATGCAGCCATCAACGCATCTAATCGTATTATGGGGTGTCATCAAATGCCGTTGCCATGGCGACAGACCACTCGCCATGAAACACGGTTTTCTCATAACTTCAGTGAAAATGCTCCAAACGGCCCAAAACTTCACAGGTTTGGTAACGATGCAGCCATCAACGCATCTAATCGTATTATGGGGTGTCATCAAATGCCGTTGCCATGGCGACAGACCACTCGCCATGAAGCACGATGTCGCTGTAAGTCCAATGGACACGGTCCGATCGTCCCCCAAACTTCGCTTGTATATCACCGGTCCAGCCCTCAACAGCTCTACGTCAATTATGGGGTTTCTTCAAATGCCGTTGCCATGGAAACGCATCCCTCGCCATAAAAGACGATGTCGCTATAACTCCTATGAAAATGTTCAAAAAGTGCTCAAACTTCACACGTGTGCTAACAGTCCAGCCGTGAAGACATCTACGGGACAGTTTTGAGATTTCTTCAAATGCCGTTGCCATGGCAACACAATGCTCACCATGAAACACGGTTTTCTCACAACTTCAGTTAAAATGCTCGAAATGGCCCAAAACTTCACAGGTTTGGTAACGATGCAGCCATCAACACATCTAAGCGTATTATGGGGTGTCATCAAATGCCGTTGCCATGGCGACAGATCATTCGCCATCAAGTTAGTTCAAAAGTTTGCAGTTCAAATATTCTGCTGCTTTTCCAAGCCTTTACTTTCTTTTCTTCACTCATCACACATTCAAGCCCCCAGTGTTCATGTATCATTTCAATCTAAATTCTTCACTTTCTTCTTACACATTACATTTCAGCATAGCAATTCAGCGTCAGCTTTTCAGCATAAAGCATTCCCACTAGCAATTTCTTCAGGAATTGCATTCTCTAGTTATTATTAATGTACAATTTATTAGATGTTGATTTCATATCAACACAAAGGACAACATGTAAACTCTACTGTTACTTGCTGTTACTAGTGATATTTTTAATGAAAGAAAAAAACAGTGATGCAGTCAGCTCATGTAAATGTTGACTCTGTATCCATTACTGACCTCACCTATTAGGAAAACCATGTAGAGGGTGACCAGAACACAAGCAATACAGACATGGAGCTATGGAACGATAGCTACATGAAAACAGAGGGTGATACGTTGAGAATTGGCTGTCACAGTCATATTGAAATGTCTGGCTCAGCTCACAGTCTCCCTCCTAATCCACCAGTTCTTCTTGTCATAGCAAACCTTAATGATCAAGGCCTCACTGAGCTTCACAGACGGCAACACAATAACTGAGTGTTAAAGTATTATTGTGCAAGCTTTTCCGCATTAGGAAAGGTTCATAAAAATTGCAAATAAACATACTTTCCACATGCCTCTGACTTCACAATAAATATTTCCTCAGTAGGGTAGTTGCGAAGAACACTAATGAAGCTTATTGTAAGTTCAAATCTTAAATACATTTAAGTTATTCATTTGAATTGTTCCTCTCTCACTCCTTCAGCTGCCTCTAAAACGCTGATAATGAGTGCACTCTTTGAGTAAACAATTAGCCAATTGGTCAATCATGGTGCTGTGCCAAACTGTATATCTATTCTTTATTCTGCTGGCGTCAGCTGAAAGACGAGATCACTGAGGCCCTCCTTCAAGTCTTTATATCCAGTTGAGCTCATCAGAAGTCCACTCCTCATCAAATCCAGATCTTTATTATTCTAATCTCATCACAATCACCACCAGTGTCTACAAGACACCCTTAAGATATGCGGTTTCACTATGGGGTATGCCAAAGACTAGTTGATTAAAACAAAAAGTTGACCAAAGGAAGGGGCTTAACACAGACACATTGGACACTGGATCCTCCTTCCTGGACGCATTGTGTGGTTACATTTGGAGTGTCCCACCACTGAGGGCACATGATGGCCCCATGCCCCCGGTACTGAACACAGTCACATGCATGGGGTTTGCTGACACTAGTAGAGACAGAGGGAGGAGAGAGGACGAAGGGGTGAGAGTTGAGGTGTGATGACATGCTATCAGACTTACACAGAGCAGAGGCAGGTACCCGCATGTTTTACTGCAGTGTAAGACAACAGAACAATGTGACCTTAGAAAAGAAGAAACCAATTTATTTTGTATACAAAATGGCTCTTTAATACATGAATCAAAAGCAAACAACACTGTATTTGTGTTTAATAAGTCAGGTGACCTATTGCATTAAAACAAAAATACATTTAAAATAAAGAAGAATGAAAGCCTAAATGAAAGTGCTGTAACTGCTAGTACTACCCATTCTTGTAAAAATGTACAAGCAATCTGATTGTCTTTTTAAAAAAAAGGTAATACAGTTACTCTTTTTTGTATCCTGATTACGTTACCACGTGACGCTTTTTTAACAAAAGAAGGCAACTTAGTTACATAGAAAATATGTAATCAGATTTCTGTTACATTTCTAAAAATGATGGATTACTAGCAGGAATACAATGTCACTAAAAACCTAAAAAGAGCATATAGTGTTTGTTGTAAAGGATCAGATGTTCTCTCTTCTCTGTAAGCTGTACTGTTCTGTAGGATAATACTTTAAGTGTGAATCTATACGATACTGAATCTGCTTTATGGTTTTCACTTTCTTTGCTTCATTTGTTCTGCTTTTAATTCAGCAGGTGAACCTATATGTTCATTAAATAGTGTGTGTGAGCTTAACTGTGTGTGTTAAACTAAAATGGAGCATTTCCTGTCAGCTCAGATTTTATTTCTGCTATTTCAAACTGTAGTATGTGCTCAGGTGTGTCAGTGTTGGTGTATAGGCTGCTGCCTGGATATGCTTCATGAAAGGCAGGTTTTCCTATAAATAAAATATTTTTTATCCTAAATATTTTGGTTTCTTCTTTTCTAAGGTCACATTGTTCTGTCATTATTGTAATATAATACACTTAAGCATAAAACATCTTATTGATATACATGTGCTCTTGTCTTTATTTACATTGCATTTCTTATTGTGATACATTTTACAGGTAACTAATCATTTTATTCCATTTTGAAAGTAACCCCCCAGCTCTGGTGGTCTCCGGTTGCTCTCTGGGTCAGAACTCAGAGGTCAGCTCATTTTAGAGAGCTGTTTATATGCTGCTGTAATCCCTGAACAAATGCTGACCTTGTCTGTCGGTCGGTCTTTAAATGGAATCCAGTGTGGATTTACAGCAGATGAATATCAAATCATTCATGTGTTTAGTGCAATTTGATAGTAATATTATCGCTATATGAGTTTGTTTATAAATCAGATATTTTTTGTTCGTATGGAAGTCTTTTTCACATATTGTATACCGCATCCTGTACATTATAATAACACTAAATATGGATTGTGTGTCATAATCTGATCTGTGGAAAAACAACATGACTTTTGTTTCAACATGCTCAGTAGTGAATAAACTGTATGTCAAACATCTATTCCATTTTGTGTCATGTTTTAAAGCAAATAACACTTATTTTATTATCTTAATTCAAACAGCGCTAATCTTTCTTTCTCACTAATTCTTATTTCATTTTGTCTTCATGATGTTATGTTTTTATTTTAGGAAATCACCATTATCTCTTTATTTATTTTACCCAGGTACTTTTATGTATTTTCAAACGGCTTCGGGGGGCTCTGTAAAAGGAAGAAAAAGTCCTTTCTTTTATAAACATATGTTATGATAAATTCCTTAATAAGGACATACCATGTGACCTATAATATATATATTTTATTTAGGAAAACATCTGATTCCAGCACCCAATGTGATGTAAGTCATTTATGAACCCAAACTTAAATCAACGGTTTAGAAATCAAAGTCCAGACTTTTTTCTAAGGATAAATCCAAATGTTTATGTGCTTCCCAAAATATTCTCCAGCACATAAATGAAGGTGGAGATGTCATCAAGTGCGCTGAGACCCATGAAACCTGAAGCTTCACTGACTTTTTATTGGCCAAACACAGCCCACAGTTCGGCAAATAATGAATCAACAATAAACCATCACTATATTTAATCCTGACATTGTTTTAAACAAACCATGGCTCGGTTTGGTTAGCTGCAGTCTGTTCCAGTGGAGAAAGCTGAAACACATGACATCAATAACTAATTCAGGGACTCATCCCGTCAAGAGCAAAGGATTGGTAAAGGTTTTGGAAGCCACACACATATAAGGTTACAAACTTGCAGTGGCACTCATGTCAATTGTAAGAGCAGAATCATCCAATATGAACATAATGTGTAGTGGATTTGTGAAACTTTGTAAAGGCTCCTTTCTGCCTACATTAGTTCTTCAACAGTTAAACAATGCGAGCAAGTCAAAGGACCAACATGGAATTAGTGGATTCACTTTGAGACAGTTCCTCATTGACAGAGTTAATCAATAATGAATGAACTTGTGTTGTCCTTACTCAGGAATGTAGCTCTTAAACGGCTAAAATATTTGATCAGTCGCACGCAGTGCTACGTTTGGTGATGCATCGATTCACTGTCCTTGCCAAACAAAGTGGTCGCCAAGCAACAAGTATTGTCAGAAACAGGAGGAGTAATTTAGGTCATCATGTTAATATCTCATTTAAACGGTTGTCAGGAACTTCCCAGTGGCTTCATGTGTGAGTCAGTCAAGCAAAAGCAGAAGAACCTGGTACATAACAAGAACATACACACACACACACACACACGCACGCACACACGCACGCACACACGCACGCGCGCATGCACGCACAGACGCACACAAACACACACACACACACACACACCACACACACACACCACACACACACACACCACACACACACACACACACACGTATACACTTAGCAACAAGAGGAAAACACTCACCCCATTGCAGGAAGCCAGAGACGTACTTATCCCTTGCAAAGTGTGAGGAGTAGAACTCCTGGTAGACCCCCACCAGCAGGTCCAACAGGGTCTGGAGCCCAACAGGCCCTGTGGACTGGAGCCCCTCGGCGGGGACAAGTGCACCAAGGCCAGGGCCCGTCGACATGGTGCCCGGTGGGTGAGGGGTCCGTTTGGCTTAGAATTTCTTTGAAACCCTGGTGTCCATGGGGTGTCGCATTTACAGTAAAACTCTTCTTCCTCAGGGTTAACAGTTGCTCTGTTTAGAATCACTGAAGCACACTTACAGTAACAGCCAGCCCTCACTTTCTTCTTGGGACTGAGCCACCTGACCCCCCCGCTGTCACACACACTGACTCTCTGGAACTCTTTCTGGATCGCACCTAACCACACCCCAAGTTTCTTATAGTTCACTGTCACTTACGTTATTGTCTCCCTCCTGTTTGTCTCTGCCTGTCTCCCCTCTCCTCTCCCCATGGCTCTGCAGCATCTGTCAAGCCTGCAGTTTCTCCAGCTCTGACTCCAGACCTTTTTTGGTCTTTGCCTCCCTCTCCAGCAAGACCCAATAGAGAAGCATGTATGATCTGAAACAAATCCTCTTTCCCTTTTACGTCTATCACTTTTTTACATTTGTATTACCTGTCCTTGTTTCCCCTTTTTCTCCCCCCCGTGACAGAAACAGGAACCACTGACCTGAACTGTTGCTGTTACACTCATGTCATGTTTTGAAGAGCGCAAATCTCCTTTTTTGTCAACCGTCCAAGGATGTCTTTGAGTCCCCGTGATTATTTGTGTGTCCCTGCTGTGTCACTCATCTCTCCCCCCTGTCTCCCCTCTCAGTCCTGCTCATGTCATGTCTCCATCCTGCAGAACAGTTTCCTCTCCCCAGCTCAGTGGATTTGAAATTCCTTCGCTCTCCGTCTGTTTACCCGTTTACTCACTCTGTCCCTCTTTCCTCCTCTAATGCAGTAGCTCTCTGTGTCTGTACTCTCTGTCTCTCTCCTCTCTTTCTCCTCCCCAACTTTTCTGCTTCGACTTTTCCACTGTACGGCCTCCTTCCACTTCTCTCTTTATAAATACACCACAGCTGCCACACAGCACCGCCTTAAACGTGATTCTTTATCCTACAGCTGCAGTGGCATCAAACTAGAGCTTCAAGCTTAATAATAAAAGCATATTTTTGTATACAAAGCTAGTATTTGTGTATTTTTTGTATTTCGTTTTTGTGTCACTGATCACTTGAGTGAGAAGATGTGTCAGTTATTTAAAATATAACAAAATAGGAATCAGTTGAAGGAAAAATAAGGAATATTATAAACACAAAAATTTACATATTAACAACATAAACTTAAAATTATGGATTTATTTCTAGTTTTGAAAAAGTAAACAAATGCTACTAATCTTACAGCCCAAAAAACATATTTTCATATACTGTATGTGTATCGTACATCCTGACTTGTGTACAAACCCTCATGATTAATAAACACTTAACTCCATTATTATTAACTTTATTCTGCCATCTTTATATGACTACATTGGATACTTACATGCTATATTGCTTCTATGGAAGTATGTCACTTAGTTTTTTTTTAACATATGTAACATTAGGCTGTCTGTGGCTCTTTCCTGCTGTAACGATGCAAATGTCCCCTCTGTGGGACTAATAAAGGTATTCTGATTCTGATATGAATATTGTGAACTAGGAAGTGCCATTTGGCCAGTTCCCCACTACATTGAAATCACATTTAAATTGTGCCTTCCTGTCGACATCCATTAATATTGCCAATAGAAAGAACAATTGTCAGTATTTGTATCTCAAGCACTATGATGATCACCAGGACCATATAGCTGTATAGGTATGTTATAGTGCATAGCTACTGTACTGTTTACCAGCTCTGCTCAAAAGCATCCACTCCCTATGCAACATCCCCTCTAGGGTTATGGCTTCAAAATGTGACACTTATCTAAGTCTTAGTGAACAATTTCCAAATGTTTTACTTAATTCCCCCTGAGGCAGATTTTGTATCAAATATCCCCAATGAACATGACAGGACATGATCTATGGAGAGTACCAACAGAGTGGTGCTGTGATTTCCTATTGTTGAAGGTCGAACCGGAAGTTAGCATCGCCATGGTTAGCACTGTTTGACAAAAAGCAATGGGATTAACCAATGTATTTTGGAATATTGCAGAAAAAGATCCCTCTGGCAAACATACTTTAATGCTACTTCCATGTTGTTTTCCTCAGGGTATCATTATTAACTTAAGTTTTATGATTCTTGAAGCATAAATGCAATCGCTGGAATGGCTAATAAAAAGCTAATAACAAACTACATCAAGGGGCCATGACTTCATATCTACAACACTAAGCTAAAGGTGGACCCGTGTTTGGCGTGATGACATTTAGCAGTCTCATTTAGTCACTTGTTAGCAACCTCAATTTTGAAGAGACATACACTTACAACTTATCATCCCTCTCACATTCATTTCTTAGTGATAGAAACAGGATAATATAATATTGCATACAAATATAATACTGTAAAAAGAGACATTCTGCATTTAAAGAACTGTTACTTTTGATACTTTAAGTACATTTAGGTTATACACTACTTTTGTACTTTCAGTTAAGTAACATTGGAGTTTTTTAAAACCACATTATTTCTACTTTTGCATAAGCAAAGAATCTAAGTACTTATTCATGGTTACAGTTCAGAGGACAGTACTGTCATAGATGTAGTAGCACCACCTGCTGGTCAGACGAGAAAAGAACTCCTATTTAACTAAAGTATCAGTCGACAGACATTTATCAGTATAGACTTTTTTTTTTTTTTTCTTGACTCAGTTAAAAGTGAGAGTAATAGTCTGCCTTAAATGCACCACTCTCTCGTTTGAAATACCAACAAATACATGCCTTTACTTCAAAATGTTGTTCAAACCTTATAAATTAGCCTTATCTGTGGTTTTCATAATCTGGCACGACTTCAGCAAATTGAATGATTTGGTTGAAAAGCCTCTGAAGTCAAATAACCCTTATGTCAGCAAGGACAGCTAACCTGCTAATCTGAATGTGCGAGGGAGGCCTGTGCTGCTCAACCTCACATGTTACATCCAGGCTCTGCTTCTAATGGAAGGTGACACTAAGCCTGTCAGCTTGGGAGGCAGGTTCCATGTGAATGTGCATTGTTGTGTGCGTCACTGAGTGGACCACTCTGAGAAAATCAAGGGAGGGGAGGAGACAAATTAGAGGAGGGGATGATGGGATTCTGAATCTGTGACTGGCAGAAGGAGGGAAGAGAAAGGGACTGACAGCAAAGTGTGGCAGACTTTCCAAGAATATATACTTTCAAAGAAAATAGTCCAGCTTGTTGGACTTTTTGGAATACCTTCTTGTTTTGGATCTCTGGGCCTTAAGGTCCTTTATGATGCATTCAAGATGAGCTGTATTCCTGCCTCACACAGGTAAGCTGCATAATATACCGTCTAAAGCGATATTTGACACAATGTACCTGTACCTTTTTAAAGCACTGTAAATGAAACATGATGGAAATAGGATTACACACCACACCAGGTATAACATGACGTTATTAGAAGTGTGAAATGCCGTGATGTTTAAAATATAGATTCCATATAGGTTCATTTAAAAATGAGTGGCGACTGATCGGCCAATGTAAACACTGAGATTACTGAAGGGGCCCTTTATTATTCATATGCTCCATACTGACCTCCCACACATACTGTACATTCATTTGAAATGAATGTATGCCTACCTGTAAGACAAAAGAAACATGTCATGGCAAGCTTTTCCTGAGGTATTCAAACCAAATCTTCGACTATATTTCTTACACCCAGGGCTTTCTTTTTATATCCAGGTTACCTCACTCCTCCTCCATCCTTGGAGTTGAGGAGTCACTTGTTTTTAAGCCTTTTATTTCATTAAGTTCTTAATTTCAGGATTAACACAGCAGCACAGCGTCTTTCCCTGCCCCCTCTCTGCGCATTCCTACTTGTGTTGTGTCCTTCTCTGTGGAACACACACAGATGTCTATCCACTGCTATGGATTGAGTCCAGTTTAGAAAATCCCTGAGATAAAGCTTTATGATCTTAGGTCTTATCAGACTTTTACATATGTACAGCTTCTGTACAATGGTCTATTTTTAAACACTGGATAATGCTTAGGGTCAGATAGAAGCAGTACCTAAAGACCAAAATACCTTGTTGGGTATGATGGCCAATTAAACAAATAACACAGATTTTCCTTTCCTATCTTTATTTCTATAGGGAATACAGTTAATCCATTACATTACAGCAAACACACGACAACCACTTCCAGTTGTTTAGCTCTGCCTCAGTCAGCTGCTGAAGTCTTTTCGGTGTGGATTTGAAGGAAATAAGGCATACTTTGATTCTGTACTGCCTTAGTATCCATGAGGTTGGATGATACCGTCACAGAGAAATGTAACATGTACCTGAAATGTGTTGTGTGTGTGTTTGAAACAGTTTGAACCCCACTCTAGGTCAAGGTGAATCTCAGATGGACGACAGACCAGCTGAGAGAAGAGCGAGCAAAGTCTACCAGGTATAACACACACCTTTACACAAGGGTCTTTGACTTCACTCTAATGCAGTGAACTCCCATTTTCTGGTAAATATCATCACTTAAAATCTAAATGAGTGGTTTAAATGATAACATCTCAGTACAATTGCACACATTTCCTTTAATGTTACCAGGTTGTTCCTTAATAATAATGGGACGTGACTGCTAGACAATAGCAGTGTCTCAAAAGTTGGTTATTTTTTGTTAGTAAGTTAGTGTTGTTTTTTTAAATTCCGTAATCATCAGCCATTTCTTATATAATTAATATCAAGTTCATTCCAAGTAGTTTATAAATCAACATCTCCTCCCTGGACCAGATCTTCCCTGAAGCCAACACCAATGAGGATCCAGATTCCAGCTCCTTGCCTGAGGATATTATTTACCGAAGGGAGCGTCTTCCCTCTATAGTTGTGGAGTCCATAGAGCACAGGCTGCCGGAGAGCGTAGAGCGCCTGGCCAACAACTTAGAGGAAGAGGAGGGGGACCACAGTGCAGATCACACAGAAGACTCCCCTGGTGGAGCGCAGGAGGACAAAGGGATGGAAGAACGGTAAGACCAGAGCACCATCATCTCTTACACATTCATCTGTCAGGGTCAAAATGATGGCAATTCTTGGTTAATTCTTACAATATTTTGGATTTACACTGACAGAGAAAAGGACAATCCAGTCTTTCAAAGACATTTTGTCCAGTCATCTTATTGTGTTGCCACTATTAGAGAAGCATCAGTGCAACACACACTGGATTCAACTGGATTTCTTTCTTCTGTGTTTTAATGTCCACTGTTGCAGCACGGCTGTGAGGAAGTCTTCTATTGGACCATCCCAGAGTCAACTGTGTCTCTCCCGGCTGACCCCTCCGACCTCCCCCACCCACTTGGAAGCTCCACCCTGCCATAAGGGCTCATAGGGCTGATAGCACTGTGCTGGCTGTGACCCTTGTAAAATGTAACCTCTGCATGTTTGAAACCATTTGGGAAAGTTGCGATAACTGCATAAAACAATGTGAGCTAAATAAGGCCCATTTCAAGCTGATTCCAGTACTGTGAAATTTGGATTGATAACTCTAGTTTAAAATAATCTGATATGTGGTTAACTGCTGTCGTTTGCTGGTCCTGCATGGCCCAACCAGAGACAAAAACAACCAGGACTTTTTACTTTCTGATTCAAATCCCAGAAGCAAAGGCATGAGATGATTACCATCGAGGCAAGCTTACTAAATGCTAGCAGTTGTTGTTGTAGTGGCCTTTGTGGGTGTTTTTAAAAGGAGTACTTTATGAAGATTGTTCCAGTGGTAAAAACAATCCCCCTGACTGAACCCTCAAAATATGGATACAATTGGATACATGTGTCCCTTAAAAATAATAAAAATCATACAGGGAAGTCACTTAAATGTGAATTA